GAAATATAATTTTCGTATAATAATTTTCCACTGAACTTGCGTAGGTGCTTATGACATCGCTGCCGGATATCTCGTAGCAAGTAGCGCTTCTGGCAATGCCTCTCTTCAGCTGTTGGACGAACTCGGATGTCCAGTCAATCCAGCCATGTTCCCTGTTCTCTCGAAGGATCCAACTGATGGTCGTTCCCTAATAGCAACCTTCACAGCTTTCAAATTTCCCGATAGCCAGCTAGTCCGTTTCAACGTGATCGTTCGATTCTGCTTAGACAAGTGCATGCCGGTGAGTTAGATCACGTTCGTCATCTCGATTGCATCCTTCGATCATAAGTATATATTAAAACACCTGCTCATTGCAATTATTGGAAAAAATTCTAAGAAATTTTATTTTACTTCGCTTAGTATATTTATTTTATTTCGTACCGTAAAATGGTAAAGCATAATTAAACAATGGAAAATTATTCAAATTCAAACTGTTACAATTTCACAGAAAAAGAAATCATAATAATTTACTTGAGAATCATTTGTAGTTTGAACTATTTAGATTTAGATGATGAGATATTAGGATCTCTTCAATTTTTATCGTTCAGCCATAATATTCAAGATTCAATAAAATGGTAAAAAAAAAAATCCTATAGCATATAAGTTCCTAAGGGCTTCTCTAAAGGGAAGACTTTATTTCTGCAAAATAATGATCTAGTCGCGAAAAAAATTTTTCTTGAATTTTTACACTTAATCTATCATATGTAATGGAAAATCATCTTCCAAAAAAACGAAATGAGGCCTATCTACAAAAGCTCTAATTTTAAGATAAGATCAAGTAAATTGTTATATAATTTTGTTTACTAAATTATAACAGTTTAAATTATTAATGTTGGTTCAATTATGCTTTTCACTATATGTAGAAAATAAAAATAGCGAGGTGTAATGATAATTCAATTTGTAATAAATATCATATAAAGTTTACTTATGTTTGCTTGCTGATTGGCTATGAACTATCGTTCATAAGTACATGAATATTTTTGTAACTTCGCTGTAATAACATGTGAATGTTACCAAAGTGTCGAAGAAAAGCAGTAATGTACATTCACGATTACCTCGAAGATCAATCCATCATGCATTATGCATTATAGACAATCTGCAATGGTAATAAACTTTCTTATGGAAAGAAGAAACGAACCAGCGAATCTTGGGACACGCCACCGACCTACGACACCGAAACGACACGAATGTTTGGAAATGAAATCCCAGAAGAGTTACCGCTAGAGCTCTCCATAATTGTGCAAAGTTCCGTCGCCTCTTCGGCTGATCGTCTGTCTTCGAGAGAGAATTCGTCCCCCGATACCGTCTTAATCACGAAAGAAAGTAAGTCTCGCAAATCTTATCCAAATTGACGCAAACATTTATCAGTGATCTAGTTATTTCCATGATTATTCTTTCTCACAACATACCTAATCATTAAAATTTTTTTTAAATACTTCGTATCGAAACCAATGGAAACTTTTTTTTAAAATACTTCTTGTTAAATTATTAAATGTTGCAAACATTTCTGTATTGTACGATGTTTTCCTTCTCCGTAGACCCCGAGGACACATTATTCTGTATCGACGCTAATCTCGCCTTGAGCTTGCTGATTTTCCTGTTGATCATTCAAATAGCACTTATCGTTGGCTGCCTATTGACCGTGGCGCAATACAGGCGAACAGCTATACGAGCAGAAGAGGAGAGAGCGAGTATCCTGGCCAGACATCTCTATGGTATTCACGGAGGAAACTTCGATATCGAGCGAAGAGTCAGATGGGCCGATCACAATCCTTCCACCTCATCTCGTGACTGACTCAATCTGATTGCATTATTCGTATAGTTATATTTCTTTTTTTTTTTTTTCATCATTCTAATCGGTTTCATAACGACCATTGTGATTCAACGGATGGAAGGGAAGGACGTGAGACTCAAGAACAAAAAAGTGTTTTTTTCCATGAAACTTGTATTAAAAATGAAGCAACGATGAATAGACAATTACATAACTACATGGTAAACCAGTCTTCTCCAGTGTGAATCAATATTCTCAATCGGTAAATACGCCGTCATTATGCATTATCTTCCTCTTATTTTCGAAGTCGTGCAACGTCCGACATACTTCAGCGTGACATCTGCAACAAAACAAGTATTTAATAGAATTATCATTAGTCAAGGAACGAGATGGAAACTTACGCGTTCGTAAGTATTACAGGACATTTATTAATTCGAAACTTTCGCAATTTAATAAGAATAATAACTTATGGGTGTTGATATGTGCCGATTATTGCTCACCTTTTCCACATGCAGAGGCACAGCTTAGTCGTCCTGGGTTCTCGTACTCGACGTTGTCCGAACCACACACGGGATTATATTCAGGCGTTGCCTGAAAATTTTACCATCTCCTTCTCATCTCGTACAAATCACACTTTATTTCACATTTTGTATAAATTTTCACTCTTTGAAACTCGATCGAGGATTAAACGCAGCATCGTTCATAATCATTAATCGCGAGTTTAATTAAAATGTTTTATCCATCATTTCGAAAACTAGATGATGTTGAGGTTTAATCTTTTCTCGGTAACAACCTGTACGATATAACTTTTCTTTTTTTTTTTTAAAGACAGGTACGAGACTCTCAAGTGTTTTGTCATATCTTGAAAAAAAAAAAAAAAAAAAAAAAAAAAAA